GCAGTAAAAGAAAGAAGATGTTTGTGTCAACGTTTTTTATTTTTATGTTTGTTTTTTCTCCCTCTGCCTGCTGGTTACCCTGTCTGCTCCTCTCTTCCTTGTGTTTAACACCTCTTCCTTCACTCTGCCTCTTTCCCATAGCGTGCAAGTGGGCTGTTATGGCATACGGGGATGGGGGCAGCTCGCGCTCAACTTCATCAACGTGGCGAGCCTTGTACGTTAGAGGCACGGTGGAGGAGGAGTTAAGAAGACTGAGAAACTGAATGATTTCAATGTGCTTTTGTTTTTGATTTTTATCCTTTCTTCAGGATACAGTGAAACGAAGAATAAGAGGACATTGTTCTGTGTCGTTCTGGTTTGTCTGTCTCTTTGCCTGTCTATCCTTTCATTTTTCTTTTCTTCGCTCATCTTATTTCTCCTTCTACTTCACGTGCTTGCGGTCTTAGTGAATAGTTCTGTGACAATATATATATATATCGTCACAAACAGAACATATATATATATATATATATATATATATATGGAAAGCATTTGAACTTTAATTATACACAATGGGGCGAGGCCGGGGACCTCACAATTCAACCCGTAGTTATCCTGGCAGCATCAGCCAGTTTCGCTTACGAGCCCAGCTCGCCAACCAAACTAGCTGCTATATCAATCTCAAACTGCAAACAAGAAAAAGCTGCTGGAAACCAGGTCCAGCGTCTCATCAATGAATACTTTCCAAAATATAATCCTTGACACTCAGAAAAAAGGGGTGAGCTAGCAAACAAAAGCCTAGCTCTGACATTCTCAAAGCACCTGCTGTGCCCTGAGGTAGGCCCAGGGGAACCTCATAAGATCAAAACCTTAACTTTTTCTCCAGGTAGCCTGAGTATCCTTCGATCTTGGAATGCCTTTATTCTTGCAGCTCTCACAACTGCCCTGAAACTGTCTGAGACACTTTCTTGAACTGCATTTATATTTTAAGTACATATATCGTCCTAATAAACTACCCTGTTAAATTTTATTTTTATTTTTTTAACCTGCCCTGTGCATCGTAGGGAGAGAGGGAGAAGGGGACAAGAAACAAGCGGCTGTGACAGACTCTGTTTCATTGGAGTTTGACCGACTCACCTGGAGGCTGCACCCTCCAGAGTCCCCTAACCAGTCACGATAAATGATAATCCACCTTCACCCTTGTTGTGATATACACATATAGCGACTCGGTCGGTTCACCGGACAGTTCTCTATGAGGATATACATATATATGTACATATATATTGCCACACTGTGAATCGGAGCACAAAGGGGGGAAAAGACAAAACAAGAACAGGAATAGAAGTAAATCAGGAAAGCCCAACCTGTTCATCACCTCTTACGTACAAGGCCAGCCACGTGGATGACAGGTTGAGCACTGGCTGCCCCATCCCTGTGTGTCACAAGGACCCACTTGCACGCGGCCAAAAGGCAAAGAGGTAAAGAAAAGGAGGAGGAAACAAGACCTCACAGAGGCAAGAGAAAGAGAAAGGATCCAATCAAGGAAAAAACAAAGAAAGAGGAAGGCCTATCAGCCAAACAAAGCAAATGACACATCCCACAGATAAACCAGTTGCCACTGTCACAACAAAGTTCAACATATATATATTTTTTTCCTTATTTTCTTTTTTCTTTTCTTCAAAAATTTGTTTCTTCTTTTTTCATTTTTTCTTTTTTCCTTTTTTCCTTTTTTCCTTTTTTTCTTTTTTTCTTTTTTTCTTTCCATTTTTTGAACTTTTTTCAATTTTTTCTTTCTTCTTCTTTCTTCAACTCCACCTCTGTTGGTAGTATCGAAAGCTTTATATGGCCTACAATTAGTGTTGCTCCTGACCTACTTGATTCTATTGACCAGTCAGGAAGAGGAGCCTCCACCCCAGCAGGTGGGATAGGCACGCTGAAGATGACGTGGATGTTCACAAGGATACCCGAGGAGAGCTGCGCCAGCACAGCATTCAGCAGGGCGACTAGCACGGACCATTCCATCAAAACAGTCTTGACAAAGGACATGCTGTCCACATGTCAAAAAAACAGCAGGACGTTCATCACAGTGCAGCATCATGCAGTCCTGATAGCATCCTTGCACACAAAAGAACAACCAATATCTGGGTGACAGGGATGTGTGCAATTAGGGAATGTTGGACACACATCGGCACAGACGGCGGCCACAATAGATTGATCATGGTGATGGCATAGATGATGAATTCCACAGCCAAAACGCACCGCGTCCCTGTCCCGACAGGTGTCACTCGAGAGTCGGTCAATAATCCAGAATACCGTATGATTCGGCAATGCACACGAAAATTCATTTACGTTGAAAATAGCCTGAATCATCGTCCCACCATCCCACAGTTCCCACTGGGCAGCTGCACGAATGAGTACCATATAATGCCCGGGTGTTGCATACCGTAAAGGTGCAGACAGAACAAGAACCGACCTCTCAATGCAAAGTACAAGATGGCGCAAACGGAAGACTTAGATACCAATGATCCGATCAATCAATGTTGCAATGCAGTCCAGAACATACATCATCATCATCATCCCACGGTGTGAAAGGGGTCTGGCGCTTCACACAGGAAGACTGCGCCAGCCCCACACATACACAGATGAAGATGAGGGGGGTGAGACGAAGAGGAGGGAAAGATGGGAATGTCATCAACACCAAGTCTTTGGCACAGGCCCAAATAGTCCCTCGTCAAAATGTCTGAATCCCAAATGTCGAGTCTGTATCCAATGTCGTCAAGTCTCAGGTCATATCTCTCTCTCGTAGTCCACAGATACTGAGAAGAGGGCAGTGAGAGGGGGAGAAGAGGTGGTGGACTTAGAAGAGGAAGAAGAAGAACTCTCTCTCTCTCTCAGTCCAGTACTAACCTGTGAAGTTGGCGCCTTGATGCAGGTATCACGAAGATGGAGCTGGAGCGATGGAGCCACAGGTAAGTACCACTGGCCTCCGCCAGTATCTCTCTCCGGTATCACTACAACTACAGCGCCCAGCGCTGAAGACTACAGCTATGGCGCCCAGCGCCAAAGACTACACTAGCGCTAAGCTGCCCTTGAGCAGCGCTCCTCCTGAGTGCTGCTCCGCTATCCGGAAGACTACCCTGACTACTGTCTGACTACCTACCCGTGAAGTGCCTAGGACAGTCCTATGTACTACTCRGGTGTGCCTCCTGACTCGTGCGAGCAGTCCAGGAGGCTGCTCTTGCCAATGCCGATGGGAGGCAGGGGCTGCAGCTGCAGCTCCTGCTCAAGCTCGTGAGGAACAGGCTATTTCTGGCTTGTTCCGCATCCCTGTTTACGTGCCTGAGTCTTAGGGGCAGGTCGAAACAATGAGGGCCTGAAAATGGCCCTCCGTTTCAGGCTGGAAAAACTCTGGGTGCTGAAACGGAGTAGTGCCTGCAGGCCCTCGTTTTTCAGCTTTCAGGCTGAAACGACCGGGGCCTCTAAACCCTAAGTTTTAGGCTTTTAGGCTGAAAGTGTGGGACAGGCCCTGCAGGGCCCGTGTGGCTACGCAGTATGCCACACCCCCCCCTACTTGAAAGACCGAGCTTACCTGCGAGGGCGAAGCTGTCTGTCTGAGGGAGGGACCACAGTCCGGGTGGGAGGGGCTGGTCGTGAAGCTTCCTGAGCTAAGCTCCGCTTTTCATAATGCGCGTAGATCAGCGGTGCGGATGCTTTCAAATCTGCGCCTGAAATCCACCGAGTGTCGTCACGATCGCATGCTTTGAATGTGACTTTGTACTGCCGCGGCTTGCTGCCGTACTTGCGATCGGTGATGACGCGGTCAACTTCCTGATGACCATCCATAGAAGGAGGGTCCTGCGATCGTCGGCCCGGAAAGTCGTCGCTCTTGGCTGGCGTGCATGTTGCCAGCTTCGAGGCATGGAAGACTGGATGGACCGTCAGATGCTCTGGAATGTTGATCACAAATGAAGGGCCATCGGGCTCATCACCCGCGGCTGCTGTCACAGACCAAGGTCCAAACCACTTGGGAAGCAGTTTGCGTGAAACATCCTATTCCAGTGCAAACTCTTCCGCGGAGACCCAAACATCACCGGCGCGGATGGGACATGGTACACGACGCTTGTTGGCTTGCTGCTGCATGCAGACTTGAGCCTTTTGCATGTTCGTGCGGGCTTGAGTCAGCAGTTCCCTGTACTTCCGAACGGAAGCGGGGGAGCAAGCGGCGTCAATGTCGGCTGGTCAAGGGAGGAGAAGGTCGGCAAAGATACGGCCTTTCCGTCCACCGTGGTGCAACTCGAATGGAGTCATGCCGATCGCCGGGTGCACCGAAGTGTTGTAGGCGAACTCGATGTCGGGGAGGCGGTCAACCCAATCTTTTTGGTCCGGACGGATGAGCGTACGAAGCATCATTTGAGCGGTTTGATGTGCCCGCTCCGTCTGCCCGTCTGTCTGTGGATGCCGAGCCGAACTTGGTTTCATCGTCGTGCCGGACTCCTGCATGAGCGCAGTCCAAAATGCTGACATGAAACGAGTGTCGCGGTCGCTGACAATGTCTTCTGGTACACGGTGGCCACAAATCCAACCAATGTGCAGGAGGCGTGCCAGCTCGGGAGTCGTGGAGTAGTACTTGCAAGGAAGAAAACGCGCGTACTTACTCAATCGGTCCACAACCGTGAGGATGTCGTCGTGCCCGAGCCGGTCGCGAGGAAATGGACCGGTGACGTCCATGGAATGGAGAGACCGGGTTCCCGTGGGATAGGCATCGGGTGTAACTCGCCACAGGGATTGCGGTTGCGGGGTTTGCTGCGTCGGCAAACTTCGCATGAGTCGCAATACCGAGTGACATCGATGATGAGGTCAGGCCATCGGAACCGCTGTCGAAGCCGTGCAATAGTGCGGTTGACTCCGAAATGGCYGGCRAGTCGTGAATCATGATACTCGCCGAGGAGGCGAGTCCGAAGACGACGGTCGCGTGGGACACATAGTAAGTCCTTGCCTCTCGAGTGGAGGAGCAAGTACCCGTCGGCAATGCGGTAACGGTTGGTCGGCTGGTGATCCGAAGATAGCTGTGCATATAGCGTGGCGAAGTCCGGATCAGACTGGTATGCCCGGATGAAGTGTCGCTGAAGCTCCTCGTCGAACGCGAAGGCATGATGAGTCATAGCGCAAAGATCAGGTCTTCGCGAGAGTGCCTCTGCTGCGCGATTTGAGAGGCCGGGAAGATGTTTCGGTGTGAAGTCAAACTGGTCAATGAAGTACATCCATCGTCCGATCGTGCTGCTCACCGTATCCTGCGTCTTGTAGTAGGTCAATGGATTGTTGTCCGTCACCCATGTGAACCTACGACGCCCAAGGAGGAAGTGTCGCCATCGCTTGAGAGCCATGANGACGCCCAAGGAGGAAGTGTCGCCATCGCTTGAGAGCCATGACGAACGCGAGTAACTCCTTCCTTGCATCATCAAGCGAGTTGATGGGGGGCACTTTGTGGCTGAAGTACTTCACAGGGTGCCAGTCGTCGCCGTTGTGCTGTTCCAAGACTGCCCCAATGCCAAAGTCGGAAGCGTCTGTAGTCACTCTCGTCGGCAAGGTGGGGTCATAGATGCTAAGGACGGGTGCCATGAGCATCGCCGTTTTAAGTGCTTGGAATGACCGGCGTGCGTCGTCATCGAATACGAATGGCACCTTTGGCGACTGTAACCTCGTCATAGGTGCAGCAATCATGGAATATCCGGTGATGAATCGCTGATAGTAGCCTGCCAACCCCATGAATGAACGAACGTCCGTGGTGTTGGTGGGCTGGAGCCACACTCGTAGGGCCTCGATCTTGTCCGCGAGCGGACGAATGCCTTTCGGCGTCACATAGTGGCCCAAGTACTCCAGCTCCTGCTGTGCGAACTCGCACTTGTCACGGTTTGCTTTGTACTTGGCCTGTCGTAGCCGCTCCAAAACGGTGCGCACGTGTTCCACATGCTCGTCCAAACTCCGACTGTACACCAAGATGTCATCAAGGTAGATGAGTACAAACCGATCCAACATGTGTCGGAACTCCGTTGTCATAGCCGCTTGGAAAGTGGTTGGGGCATTCGTAAGGCCAAACGGCATAACCAGCCATTCGAAATGCCCATACTGTGTCTTGAACGCGGTCTTGTAGCGATCCTCCTTGCGAATCTCAAGTTGGTGGTACCCTGACTTGAGATCCAGCTTAGAGAAGAACTGGGCGCCGCCCAATCGCTCGAGAAGGTCRTCGATGCGTGGGAGAGGGCCGRCGTTCCTRATCGTCTGCGYGTTGAGCTTGCGATAATCGATGCACAACCGCAKGTCCTTGTTCTTCTTCYGGACGAAGARAACAGGAGCACCRTATGGCGATGAGCTAGGCCGAATCCAGCCTTTCTCTAGAAGGTCGTCGAGTTGTGCACGAAGCACACTTAACTCTTCCTCGCTCATTCGGTAGATGCAACTGCGCAGAGGTACGGCCCCGTCCTCGAGGATGATCTCGTCGCGGATGGGCTGATCCGGTTCTACGCCATGCGGGCCTTCGAACACGTCGCTGTAGGCGTCGAGAAGTTCGGTGATGCGTGGATCCGAAGATGAGTCCGTCGATGAAGCGTCTCGGGGCGGGAGGGCGTGGAGAAAACACACCCCCATCTCCTCGATGTCGTCTCTGATGATGGAAGCTCGCATGCTTGCGGCGGATACCACGTGGCAGCTGATGGAAGGATGAGGAAGAGGCACCGTGCATGGAACTAATACTCCGTTCCGATCACGAACGTGAACGGTGCGATTGAAGAAGTTCACCAAGTGATCCTTGCTTCGCAGCCATGACATGCCCAAGATCATGTCAAATTTGGTGTCCAGAATATCAAAGGACACCGCCTCACTTGCGTGAGGGGCAAAGTACACGGGGACGGCATCAATGCACCTGTCGATTGACTTGCACGTATGACCGTCTGCCAACGTGACTTGCGTAGGCTGGGACTTCCTCCGAACGCGTGGGCCAAGGCCGGCGCGCACCATGAAGTCCTGGCTGATGTAGTTGCGAGTAGCTCCGCAATCGATCAAGGCACTGCAGGTCGCCTCTCCGATCTGAATGCGAACGTATAGCAATGGTGTGTCGATGTCGTCGTACCGTTGCGTCTTGAACTCGCGGTCAATCTTCGCGATGTAAGCGTGAAGGTCGACAACCTCTCCTCCGGCGTCCATCAACGGAGCTGGTACTGCAGTGTGCAAGTAATCCCGCAATTGTGCCATGAGCACGTTGCAATGCGGTTTCGGCAATCGTCCGGTCGAGGGAACGAGCATCCACTGGAAGTCCGTGCACGTCAACGGGTCGAGCTCTTCAAGTCTTGACCATGACGTCGAATCCCCGGCGATAGATTGCGGCGAAGCTGCCGAATCGGTTGCCGATGGTGATGAAATCGTGCATGCGGTGGATTGTTGCACGTGGAGCGGTTGGTCCAGCGGAGGAACCAAGTGGACAGCATAGTCCTCGTAAGTGTAGCGAGGACTTGCGACATTCGCGTTCTCCCCAGATGCGCAGGAGGCCGCTAGCAAGGCGGCCGAATCTGGCAGAGTAGAAGGTGGAGTCGCCTCACCTTCCGCGGAACTTAGTTTCCCGAGTTGAGGCGGAGTCGCACATCCTCCTCGCCCTGATCCTGGCACAGGGAGGTCTTGTGCTTGGTGCTGTTGCACCAATAGTAGTTGTCGTAGCGGCCGCGGACCTTGTATTCCGCCTCGGTCAAGCCGAACTTGACCCATGGAGGCTGTCCATTTCCGGCCTGCGATGCTGATTTCGCCTTCCCATTATTGCGGGACTTGTTGTTGCTTCGCGGCTGGACAGCAGCCACCTGATCTCCGTCACCCGATGCTGGAGTGGCTGCTGGGTTATCTCCACTGTCCGACTGGACTGCAGCGAAATTCTGCGGTCGCGGACCAGTTCGTACCTTCTCCACATAGGTCGGCTGCCATGATGACTTCTCGTGTGCAGCTGGCCTATTTGTCTTGATGATCTCCCTCGCTTTGTCAAGGATCTTAGCGAAAGTGGTGTACTGTTCGCGATCACCAAGAGCCTGGCTCAATGCAGCACAGGACCTGTTCTAGAACTCACGTCTGAGATGAGTGAAAGGCAGGTCCAGATTGGGCATTGCCGCAATCTTCTGCCACTTTGTGAGCCAATCCCGTGTTGCAGTGTTGCCCTGTGACATGGTGAACAAACGGTTGATGGCGAGTGTCGGCGCGTCGTCGACGATGAACCGCTTCTTCCACAGCCGTGTCAGTTCTTCCCATGTGATCTTGTCCTTGAGATCCGGTACGTCTACGCCGTGGGAGGTTGCCAGGTGGGTCAACCAGGTCCGGCATCCGCCCTTCAAGTTCAGGAACAGGGCGCCGATGTACGAATGCTTAGCGACGGGCAGAATCCTGAGTTGAGTCGTGAATGCTTCCCACCAGAGGACCGGATCCTGCTGCGTGTAGTCGTCGAACTTCTCCAGGGTGAAAGTTGGCATCTTGTACATCTTCGGATTGCCATCCGCGTTCGTCGACTGCAGCTGCTGGACCTCGGTCTTCAAGGTATGCAGCTGACTGCTGATGGTGGTCAGCGCAGCGAAGGTGCTGATGTCGCCGCGCATTGCCACTACGTGGTCAACGCGTTCCTCCAGTTGGCGGCTAGAGGGTGCACTGCTGGAAGCCCCAGCAGCTGGTCCTGGTACAGCCTGTTCCAGGTCCAACAATCGGGCATTGAGTGCCCGAATTGCATCCTCGTGGCCCTGCACTGTGCGACGGCGCGTCGCCAACTCCTTATGCTGTTGCGTCAGGTCCCGGTACTGTTTCTCCAACTCGGACTGTTGGTAGTTGCAAGTGTACAACAGCCGAGTTATGAGTTTGGAGAGAAACTCCTTATGCTGCTCTTCCGGTGTTGCCTCGTCGCCGTTTGGTTCAAAGTGCCAGAACTTGAGTCTGTCGATGCTTGTGGCTTCATGCCGCTGCAGCAGATCCTGGGCTTCCTTGCGGCGAGCCTGGGCATCTGCGTCTGCTTCGGCCTGTAGCCGCAGCTTCTCTGCTGCTGCCGCTTCATCAGCCTGTAGCTGGGCAGCCTTGGCTGCCAATTGGCGCTGTTCCTCAGCCTCGATTAGAGCGAGCTGAGCCTGGAAGCGCTTTTTGTAGTCGGCAATGGGCTCATTGGCCAGTTGGCCTGGCAGGCCCGTCATGCTGCTGACGTGGCACTGCTGATGTGGCACTTCTGACATGGCACTGCTTATGTGGCACTGTGTCTGACGTGGCACTGCTGACGCGTCACTGTAGCTGACGTGTCACTGTGTGACATGGCACTGCTGACATGGCACTGCTGATGTGGCACTGCTTACGTGGCACTGTGTCTGACATGGCACTGTAGCTGACGTGTCACTGTGTGACATGGCACTGTAGCTGACATGTCACTGTGTGACGTGGCACTGCTGACATGGCACTGTAGCTGACGTGGCACTGACGTGTCACTGTACCAACCCGGAAATGCATGCAAAGGGTGGGTGGGAGGGAACGCAGGTAGGTAACCAACCCAACAATACTTTCCTCCGGCCCTAATCAACAGATAAAAATAAAAAATAAAAGAGGACTAATTCCTTTTTTTTTTTTTTTTTTATATCTGTCGATCTGTTATGCATGAGACATGTCAGAAAAGTACGATGAACGAGATCTAGGCTACGTTGGCTTTTACCAAATGCAATCTTGAAAAAAAAAATTTGCGAAATAGAGTAGAGATGCGATGTTCAGAAACGGACTAAATCCTGTTTCTCCGAATATGACAATCTGCTACTATGCCTAAAATGCCATGCTGATAGGCCCCGCAAGATTTCAGTTTTCAAAAAAAATTTGCGAGATAGGATGGAGATTCGATTTTCAGAACCGAGTAAATCGAGTTTCCGAGAATATGACCATTCCTATCGTTATCCTATTTGCCTAGAAAACGAAATACGAAAGTCAGAAAATATGCGAATATCAGAAATTTCGGTTATGTATGTAAAACATCAGAAAACGAAATGCTACTTTCAGAAAAGTTCGGATATTTGTTGCGTAAAAACTAAACGCAAATAACGGAATTTTCAGGTAGATCGTAATGCTATTATCAGGAATTTCAGATAAAACGAAATGCGATTTTCAGAAATTTTCAGATATTTGTTACGTGAAAACAAAATACTAATATCGAAATTTTCAGAAAACAGCTAAATGCGATTATCAGAAATTTCAGATATAACGAGATGCTATTATTACGAATTTTCAGATATGCGAAAGAAAGAAAAAAAAAATTTCAGAGATTTGACGAAGTCCTACTTGATTTACTAATGAGTTTACTAGATCAAGCAAGCTCGCTACTTGATTGAGCGGGTCCTCTGAATGAGAGGTCCGCTCCGATACCAAACTGTTGCATACCGTAAAGGTGCAGACAGAACAAGAACCGACCTCTCAATGCAAAGTACAAGATGGCGCAAACGGAAGACTTAGATACCAATGATCCGATCAATCAATGTTGCAATGCAGTCCAGAACATACATCATCATCATCATCCCAGGGTGTGAAAGGGGTCTGGCACTTCACACAGGAAGACTGCGCCAGCCCCACACATACACAGACGAAGATGAGGGGGGTGAGACGAAGAGGAGGGAAAGATG